GAAAACGATGAAGCCGATGCCTTGGCTAAGATAAGATGGCTGGAGAGAGCCCCAGCTGCTGATGTAGCCCAGTGGTTACATTGACAAATGCAGCATGCTGGCAGCAAAACCATGTGGATGGCGGCTCAAAGACGGACCCTGCCTATAAAATGGGAAGATGCAGTGAATGCCTGTCATGCTTGTCTAGTATGTGCTGAAGAGAGTCCACACCCCCAGTGGGTGCCCCATACAGATGGGCAAATAACTCGAGGAAGGGTGCCCTTGACTCGATGGCAAGTGGACTCTGTCAGACCACTGCCAAGGTCAGAGAATTACAGATACACCTTCACAGCTGCTGATATGGCTACTGGTCTTCTGTTTGTATGGCCTCGTAAGGCCCCAGACCGGGTAAACTCTGTGAAGGCATTGAATAGCCTTATGGCTATGTATGGTCGGCCTATAGTAATAGAGAGTGATAATGGAACCCACTTTACTGGACATGAGGTTCAGAAGTGGGCTTTCCAGTTGTCTATTCAGTGAAAATTACATATGCCATATCATCCCCAGGCAGGGGGAGTGACTGAATGGTAAAATGGTCCTTTACTTTATTTTTTTAAAGATGACAGGTAACGGGATCTTAACTCTTGACTTGGTGTTATCAGCACCACACTCTCCCAAGTGAGCCACGGGCCGGCCCCAGTGGTCTTTTAAAAAAGGGACTAAGGCTATCTGCCCAACCCCCATCCCTGAAGGGGTGGACACAGCAGTTATGGCCAACAGTCAGGATTCTCAATGAGAGATCCTGCAAGAGCAGACCCTCTCCAGTGGAAGCTCTGTTCCATAGGGCTGCAGCACCTATACAACTGCAAGTCAGTACTAAAGATAAGCTTTTGAAGCCAGGATATGGCAGGAATGGAAATATTCTCTTACCGGCCCCATCCTGTTTGCAACAGGGACAGAGAGTACAATGGGAATGGCCTTGGAGAATAGAAGTCCCCCATATATGCTGGGTAGGCCTAATAGGGCCTTGGGGGAAAGGATTAGAAGACTTGTAAGTTTCACCTTGGGTGATAAGTACCTGGCCTCCCTGAGTAAAGGTAACATGGCCTGGAACAGATAAGTGCTCTGTTCTAAAGGGCGCATTTGTATTACCATTATCACCAATTATGAGTTCCCTATACTGTTACATGTAGAACCTACAGATCCAACAGTGCTGGTGGATAATGTATGGTATCATAAACCAGGGAAGATACCTATTCCTGCAACCATCCTTTCTCAGGATGGCAAACTGGCATGTATCCTACCAGAAGGACAAGACCTCCCCCTATTGGTACCAATAACCCTTCTGTCTTTTCACCCAGTGTTCTGGCTGTGGGCACGAGAGTTAACTGGGCACATACATGTGTTCGTGTGGCCAATGTGTCGGCTTACTGAATATACACTGAACTTCCATCAGTATGACTACAGGATCCCCATGGAAGATCTCCCCAATGATGCTACTAACCAGACATGTGTAGCTAGTAGTTGACAGAACTATAGGACAAGCCTTAAGGCATACTGAACAGACAATGGGTTATATAAATGTAAGGGTCATTTATCCTCACTAAAGGAACATCATGGAGATTCTGAACGTGTAGATTGTATGGCGAGGGACCCTGAAGGGGTAGATTGTTGGCAAAATATAGGAAAATGGTCAGGGCCTCTCAGATGTTCAGAATCTTGCCGAGTGTTTTACGTAAATATCCACATGCACCCAGGTGTTCCTTGGTTGTCTAATGTAATTGCACATGTGCACCCAGGTGTCCTGGGGCATGGACTTAAGTATAGAGGACTAATGGCTCTGATACATGGTGCTTCTCGGGACGCTCTGGGAGGCCACTAGGGCGGTTGCTCTTAGCTCTGAATAAAGCCTAATGTTTTTTTACCCACAGCTCCCAGGACCTCTTCCTATTACGTAGCTCGTAGACCTGCGTGTGAAGGGTTTGTGACCTAGTCTGAACAATGGGACCAAGGGGTCTGTGAGCCCTAGCCCTAGCTTTATACCAGGTGAAGAACACAGACCCCATGCCTAGGGCTGTGGAGCAGTCTGGTCATGCTGTAACAAGCAACCAAACAGAATGCCAGCCTACGTGTGCTGCAAGGGAAGCCAAGACGGTATCCAAAGCAAGGCCAACATCCTTACTAGAAAATTGTTTTGAATCCACTTCAGAGCACAAAGAAGTGAGCTTGATCCCAAAGTTCTACTCCATCTAGCACAGCTGGAACTGCTTTGGCCTGAACAATTTTAAAGGGTGGTTTAATCAGATGCTGGCCTCATTCCCCGCCCTAGTATTCTATTAACTTTGGAAAAGCTACTTCCTGGTGTACCCTCCAACATAAACTATTTGGAAAAGGTACACCAAGATGATTAAATAAGATAAGCTATACTACGAGTCCCAGATAAAAAGGAAAAACAATTCAAGTCAACAAAATAATTTTACATGAATCATGTAACAAAGTCAAAATAAAGGGAAAGTAATCTATAATAAAATGTGCTTTCAATATGTAAATGTTCAGGCACAATGACATTACAAGAAACAATGAAGTCACTGATGCCTATACATAGAATTATATTGGTGACAATATTATCAATAGCACTGTTGTCAAGAACAAGATTTTTTGAAACAGGTACAATTCTTGGTCAAGTTTTGAACAAAATAAAGTACGATCTTCCCTCAAATATCTGGTGGTTATATTCTTGGAGAATCCATGACACATTAAAACTATACAAAAAATACCTTGTTTTAAAATGTAAAATGGAGTTAGGTTTTATGCTCAGATATTTAACAGGTTTTTTTTTAACACATGAATGTCCAGCAGAACATTCAAGAATCACATGGCATTTAGAATAATTCTTTGTTGTGCTAAACTGTCCCATGTGCTGTGGGACATAAAACCTCTGTGGTCCCTGCCCACTAATTGCCAGCAGTGGCCCCAATCATTTCTAAAACTACTAGTCCAAGCCAATCATATTAATTTTACCAGCCCCACAGTGGCCAATGACTGGCTACTCAATCCAGGTCTAAGTCAAAAAATCTTGGGCTATGAAGCAGACCAGTCATGCCATGATGAGCAACTGCACAGAATGCCAGCCCAGGTGTGCTGTGAGGGAAGCCAAGGGGGTATCTAAATATTTCCAAAAAATCTTATTACTGACAACAGGGCATAACATTAGTTGATCTGAGAATAGGGTACAGGATGTAATGTCAGCCAATGAAAGACGTTTGCTGGAGGCTTCACAGCAAAGTTTCCTAGGATTCACAAGAAAAACTGTCTCTCCTCTACATGGTAACAAATGGATGGGTTGCCTAGAAATTCTGTCCTCATCTCAGAACCAGCTGGAGGACACAGCCAACAAACAGGACGGCAGAGCCGAAAGCACAGGGGAACTGAGCTTGACTTTGGATTATGTCACCCTTGGGGTCTACCCTTCCTCTGGATTTCCAGTTACATCAACCAATACATTTCTTATCATTTAAGCTGCTCTGAATTTGAATTTCGGTTCTTGAAGCTGAAAGCCCTTTGATACATAAATAATTTCACAAGTCAAAGACTGAGGCCTGGTTTTAAAAAACACACCAAAAACAAAACAACAAAAGGTGAGTATTGTTCCTGGACTTCCATACCAAGTGTAAACCTGTGGCAGGTGATGCTGGTTGAAAGACTGCGTGCTCCTCATGTAAGGGAGCCACACAGTATGAGCCCGTGTGGTGGGTAGTTCACCTGTCAAGTGCAGGCACACTGTGGGAGAAACACCAGCACAGTTCACTCATGCAGCTTGTTGGGGGAAGTGTGTGAAAGGCAAAAAGCTATTTAATCCAAAAAGAAAAAGTAGAGCCACAGATAAAAAAGTAATGCCATCAGTATTTGTGTAGACAGAACTATAGGGTGCACTGTGGACAGACAGGGCTGTAAAAGCAGACCAAGTCCCTGCTTTTGTAAAGCTTATACTTAAAGAGACAAAAAACCAAACCAAACCAAAACAAAAAACATGCTTATGGAGAAACAGATCAAAAAATGCAAAGTAAATCTTTTTTTTTTCCTTTTTGTCTTTTTTCGTGTCCGGCAACAGATCGCAAACCTCAGTGTCGCGCCCGTACCGGACTGGGACCGGCAACGGGATCGCAACCCTCGGTGTTGCACCCACACCTCGCTCAGCCAGTGAGCGGGAACCGGTCTGTATGTGGGATCCGAACCCTTGGCGGGAGCGCCACTGGCTCCCAAGCGGCGCACTGCAGCAGTGCGCCACCGGGCCGGCCCAAAAAATGCAAACTAAATCTAATAAAATTGAGTACGGCAAGTGGTGGGGAAACAATGGGTAGAGAAGGGGACAGTCAGATATGTTCAACCCTGAAAGGTTATTGCAATATGCCAGGGCATGAGCTTGAATGGTAAAGGTTATAACAATGGGAGGACGTGTAAATACAGTATATTATAGGAGGAAAAGGTAAGTATATAGGAACAGGAACGGAGAATTTAGTAATGTACTGCTGAGATGGCAGCAGGTGAGTATCTAGATAAACAAGGTTCCACTGCCAGATGCATGACAGACAGGAAAGAGCAAACTTGTAATTGGGGATAGAGCCTCCTTCTGAATCCTTGTTCCACCGTGCCCTAGCTGTTTGATACTGGATGAGTTACTCAACCTTCCCTGCGTCCGTTTTCTCATCTTATAAAATGGGGACATGTAGTACCCAAGGGGGCTATTATAAGGATGAAATGAGATGAGGCATGCTAAGTGACTTGCATAATTGGGAGGTGCTTAATCATGGTAGTTATTATCACTCTTAAGTCCACAAGCAATTCACTCAAATTAGTTTCAGAGCATTTATAAGGCAAACATATGAAACTCAATATACCGATTACATCAGGTTTGAAAATCTGATTACATCAGCTTTGTGTTTTAAGCAGCCAATTGCAATCCATTACAAAATCCCCAAATTAAAAGAAAAACCATAATACACTAAGAAAACAGACTGCTATTAAGGGATTTATAAATACATTTATTAGTGTTATTGAATGATAAACTCAGTGAACAGAATACAAAGAAATCAGCACTGAAAGGGAAATGTTAATCTTAAAAAATGTAATATATTTACACATATATTGACAAATTTTGTATATCTGTTTAGATTTACAAGCAAATGTAAAGCTAATTTCAAAGATTTCACTCTGAATATACTCCAAATTTGAGTTCTAGCATACTCCACAGTATAAATCCAGCTGCTTTTTGCTGTATTTACACCACATAATTTTTTTTATTTGTATCTTACCTAAAAGCAACTCTGCAAGCTGATCCTGAAACAGCCAGTTAATCAGGAATTTTAAAACAGCTCTTTAAAAGAGGATGAAAGCCACATGAAAGAAAAAGCCTCAATACTAGATATATAAATACATAAGAGAAAATATCAAGAAGCAAAAAGAATCACAGAAATATCAATTCTATTCTACACTATAATTTCTAATTCTAGCAACAATTCAATTAGCAACAGCTTAGATGTCTTTGTTCCATAAAATAAAACCATTAGCTCTTTCACTACAATTTTCTGACTTTGTCCAATGAATAATTATCAAGGCTTCCTATTCTTTTTTAATAAGCCAAGAATATAATTTATACATTACAGAATCATTCACAAAATAGGCTTTCAAACATACTGTTGAAAGCTGCAATATATCGCGGCGGCGCTCCCGTCCGAGGGTTCGGATCCCATATGCAGACCGGTTCCCGCTCACTGGCTGAGCGAGGCGCGGGAGCAACACCAAGGCTTGCGATCCCGTTGCCGGTCCCCGGTCCGGTACGGGGGCAACACTGAGGGTTGCGATCCGTTGCCGGACACGGAAAAAAGAGCGGCGGCGCTCCCGTCCGAGGGTTCGGATCCCATATGCAGACCGGTTCCCGCTCACTGGCTGAGCGAGGCGCGGGAGCAACACCAAGGCTTGCGATCCCGTTGCCGGTCCCCGGTCCGGTACGGGGGCAACACTGAGGGTTGCGATCCGTTGCCGGACACGGAAAAAAGACAAAAAAAAAAAAAAAAAAAGAAAGCTGCAATATAGTTTGGGGGCCAGATTTCAATTTACATAATATTACCATTCATAAAGAGTTTATAACCCAGTACAATATTGCTCAGTGCTGTTAACTCAGAAATACTCCATCCGTTCTTGCCATCAGAGAATTACTGATGTGGATGAGATTGTTACAAAAAGTCTAACAGGGCCTCTAAACAGGAATTCGCAGGAAGTAAGTATGAACTATGATACAATTTTGATAGCACAGCTAGCTTACAGAACTGAATTTTTCACTTTATTAATAGCACTACAGAATTACAGTGACAGTTAAATATCAGAATTATTTTCCCCTGCTAATTATTCTGTAGAAAAAAGAGTTTTCTGACTGTAGTTTTGATGACTAAAATACCTTTAAAATAAACACTAAGGGAGATTGAAAAGTTAACAAAATGAACTCAAGTTTATTTTTCACAGATATTAACAACCAAAGCCATTTACAAAAAAAGAAAAATTATCCTAAATACAAATAAATATAAGCTCAAATAAATCATTTTTGAAGAAAATATAGCTCATTTTCAATAGTTCTGTTTGGTTTGTGACTAGACTTGAAAGTATTAAAATAAACCAAACAGTCTAACAATGCTAATTTGCTATATATAGGATTTGAAAAAAGTACTTCAAGTTTTAAGCTGAAATGCTTCACTCTCTCCCCTATTCCCAGAGAAAGTCAATAAAAAGAGAAAAGGGGCTCTTGTAAAAATAAACATACAAAAACAAAACCACCAACAAAAACTAATCATATAAGAAACTCTTTTTTTTCTTTTTTGAATTACTTCAATTCTATAGCAAGGACTTCCTAGCCTCTTCCTTTGTCTTCTATTCTCTAGTCATTTCCACGTTTTTATCAAACAAGGCTCTGTGTAGGTTTTCCTAAGAAGTCAGGTTGAGTCAGAGGTAGCATTAGGATGCAGTATACTCGACTATAGCATGTAGTTAATTCAAATGAACACATCGTCTTTCTAAAAGGATTACAATAAGTAAAAATGCAAACAGAAAAATGTGCAGCCTTCACTGCCTTACACTAAGAGAATTTTAAGAAACTGAGAACAAATACTGGAAGCTAGGAAACAGGCATCTGCCTCACCTCCTATAAGCTCCTTTAATGCACCAGTTCAGGCTGGTTTTCCACAAAGGGTAGCACCCCACTCACATAGTAGGCAATGCCAAGAGACAGCAGAGCAATGACAAAGATCAAGAGCAACACCCTCCAGAAGCCCAGATCTTCTACAAACTCCTGCCATGTGGTTCGAAAGCTGGAAAGGACTCCTTCACCCTGCTGTAGGTTGGGGTTGAGGAGAGAATGGCTTTCCATGGCACTGTGAAAGAAGACAAAAGAAAGGGGCATGAAACAACATACTCTACCCATTTCAAAAACATAAAACACAGGAGTTATATTATATGGAAAAGACCAACCTCATAACGCAACACTTACAAGAAGAAAACTGACATATATATCAGCGTTATGTGTGTATGTATATATACACACACTCTCACACTTACGTGCTGACTTATACAGCCACATGTATCTCAACAATCTACCTTTAGCTGTAAATTGCTAAACTGTAATAATTATGCTTCTTGGTTTACTATCTCTGTTTTAGAGTCAAGTCAAAAATCCTAATAAAGAGACCCCACAAGTAGAAGTCTTGAAATAGGTCAACTGAGTTGTTTCCATAGAGATCCTAAACCAAACATATTTGGGTTATTTTAAGTTTAAAAGATTAAAAATGAAGAATTGTAATTTAAGAATTCATGTTAATAAAAATAAGCAAAGATGGGTAAATCTTAAAAAAAGCATTTATATATAGTGTGTGAATCTTAAAGTTAAAAGGGAATTTTTATTAGTTCAGTTCCATAATCTGACCAATGAAGGAATTCTTTCTTTAAGTGTAATCCTCTAATAATGGAAGCTTACTCCTTTCTGTTGTACATGTGGACTGGCCTAGTCATTAGGAATTCTTAATAGTTTCCTCTCCTACTGGTTTTTGTTCTATCTTGTACTATAATATAGAATAAATTTATTTCTTTTCTGCATAAAGGCTCAGTCTACTTGAAAATGAGGTAGTGCAAATAGCATAAAAACACTGATTCTGGTTTTCTCAGAACTATATCAATAAGAAATGTGACCACCACAAAGAGAAAACAGTACATCTGACTTTGGCATCTGGAAGTCTGCACTGTGAAGAAGTGAGAGCTCTAAGGAATTAGCACCCATACTTACGTCACAACATACAGACCTATAAGGGGGTAGCATTTAGATTAAAGCCACAAGGACCATAATCAGATTTGACAACTATCTATTAGTTATAAAAGATCATGAATACCTTTCCTGAATCCCTTCTCTTCATATTCTTCCAACCTTCTGGGCACAGAACGATGAAAACGGCATAAACTAATGTCTTAGAGTCTTGTTCATCATGAACTATGAGTAACCACATGCAAAACTGGCATTTTTTTTAACTTACAACTTTATTTTACTTCTTGATACTGTTAACCAAACGTCCTTCAGCCTTTACCAGTATTAGAGGTCTTCTTAATCATGGGAAGCTGGCTTCCTAACGGGCCAGACTGTTTAACATCAAACCATTTCTTTTTTACATTAAAAGACGCTTATTCTCTGAATGAGAGAAGACATTTCAGTGGGAATCTATAATACAGAAAGTTAAGAAAACTCAAGCAAGTTCAAGAATAAGATTAGAACTTTGAGAAGGCCTAAACAAGTAAAACCATAAATAAAGAAGTTCAGGAGAGGTTTAGTTTGACCTATATGAAATTTACTGAATATGTCTGAGTTGACATGTCCTCATATTCAAAGATTTAGGTATAAAATGAGAATTCAGTGAGCACTCCCTAGGAACTCATGAAGCTCTGCCAATCAGAATTTTCAAGAGACTTTATCCAGTGAAATACTTTCTACTGTCCAGGGAATACCTGACTTCAGCATAATGGCGGGTGGTGGTGGTGGTGGTGGTAGTGGTGGTGGTGGTGGTGGTGGTGGTGGTGGTGGTGGTGGTGTGTGTGTCTGTGTGTATTTTAAAGCATGTGTCATCTACACTGTCTCTGTCATCCCATACCTACAAAGTAAAAAAAAACTAAATTAAACTTATGATAATGCAGAGGTATGGGGAAATATTTCTCATCAGCTTGATTTATAGGACTTTATAAGGCCAGAGAAGTTGTACTATGTTTCAGGGAATCCTAAAGGAAATAGAAAATATTGTAATAAATACATTTAAAACCTTGCTTTCTCTTCTGCTCTAGAAAACGTTGTTACACAGCTATGCCAGAATGCCACATGCTAGCTAATTCCTTCAAATTTGTTCCCCCCACTTTTTAAATTGAGATATAATTCATATACCATAAAATTTGTCTTTTTAAACTGTACAATTCAGTGACGTTTAGTATATTCACAAAGTTGTACAACCATCTCCACTATCTAATTCCAGTACACATTTATCACCTCTATAAGGAACCCTGAACTCCTCAGCAATCACTCTTCATTGCCCCTCCCCCCAGCTCCTGGCAACCACCCCTCTACTTCCTGTTGCTATAGATTTGCCTATTCTGCACATTTCATCTGAACTGAATCACATAACAGATGGCCTTTTATGCCTGGATTCTCCATGTTTTCAAAATTTTTCGATGTTGTAGCATGTATCAGTACTTCATTCCATTTTATGGTGGAATAATATTCCATTGGATGGATAGATGACATTTTCTTTATTTATTCGTCAATCAGTTGATGGATGCTTCGGTTGTTTCCATGGCTATTACAGATAATGCTGCTATGAACATTTGCGTACAAGTTTTTGTATGGACATATAGTTTCAATTTTCTTTGGTATATACCTAGAAGTGGAATTGCTGGGTCAGATGGTCTCTATGTGTAGTTTTTTGAGGAACTGCCAGACTGTTTTCCAAAGCGGCTGCACTATTTTACATTTCCACCAGCAATGTATGAGGATTCCAATTTCTCCACATCCTCAATAACACTTGTTATTGTCTGTTTTTTGATTGCAGCCATGCTAGTGGGTGTGAAATGGTATTCTACTGTGGTTTTGATTTGTGTTTTCCTAATGATGTTGCCTTAAACTTTTTAATCTAAGTTTTAACCTCTGCATTTTTACCATGACTCTCAGGGACAGGAGTCAGAGAGGAAAACTAAATAATAAAAGCATTAATAATTCAATTTTTGAAGAACTAGCTTTATACAATGCTGTAAATAATAAAAATTCTCATGCTGAAGAGAAATGTTAGGTATGTAAAAGAAACAGGAGTGAATATTTCATATTGAGCTGCTCAGATGACTAATCATTTCTTAGTAATCACAACTGAGGCAAAATAAAGTTTAAAGTATATTTCTGATAAAGAGGTGCCAAGAAACTGGTTATTAATAAAATAAGGGTCCAAAAATAAGGGTCCAAAGCAAAAACACACTCTTGGATATTTTTCATGGGAAAAAAGCATAGAGTAATTTAATATTATTTTATAGAAAGATGAAAATAAATTTCAAGTTATTTTGGAGGAACACGATCTTCAGCAAATAATAGTTAACTCAGTATTAAAGTGCTTATGGCATTCTGACTGTCAAGAGTACACAGTTGAGAGAAAAGGCTTGCAAATGCATCTTTGACTTCTTGCTTATTTTATTTGTCAGCATTTGGTGATAACTCATGAAGAGCATGCACCATTCTAGACGTAAAACTCTTTAGGACAGTAATAAGTGCTTGAAAGTACCTAAACAAAATTGACCAAAGCTTGAGAGTGAACTTAATGGGCCCCAAGAAGTATACCAGCCAGCACATGAAGGAGGAGGAAAGCAATCATGGGTACTATGGAATCAAATAAAGGGTGAGCTATGATAAATGGTAGGATTTCACTTAAAACTCACAGAAATAATGATCCCAATGGTCTAAGTGGTCTATGAGATCCTAAATCCAAGTCCTGGTCAATCAGCTACTAGGCCAACAGCTGATGTGGGCCCTTGTTTGTTCTACTTATATTCCACTGAAAATTTTGGGAAGAGACTATAGTAGTCTCTTCACCCTTTTTACCTCACTTGTATAATCTGGAAGGCTGAAATTCCACGACAGGCAACCAAACTATATGCTACTGCAACTAGGTCTAGCCTACTAACTTTACCTGTCGAACCAGTAAGACCAGGAGGAAAAGATGGTTTGCCACCTTTTCAGAGCTCCCTGAACTGTTTTCCACTGCTTCTAGATGAAAATGATAAAATACTAAAGACCCTGTCAGTTACCACATCTTAGCTTTAATTACTTATCGGAGCCCAAATTTCATTAGTTCCAAACTCACATGAAAATTGCTTTCACTTTTACATTACTGATTTGTGTATGTGTTAAATCTTGTCTTACCTTCACTCTCCTGTTCTACTGTTTCTCAGCATTCCAGTTCCCTACCCATGAAACTACCTTTCAGTCTGTTCTAAAATTGTCTAATTTCTCAGGCTTATCTCTCTTCCTTTTTTGAAATTCTATTCTTTTTGTGACTTGTACTTAAAATTCTCAAACTCCTGTTTCCTTCCCTTCCTAGTTAAGAGGTAGCTCTTAACTACCTCTTCTCCCTTGTACCGCTCACAGCAGGTGGCTAACAGAACATTATGTGCATGTGGGCACGTAGTACTTTCTGTTAAAATAGCTTCCCAATTGTAACCTGAAGCCACAGGACCTATATAAAGTTCAAAGAAAGTATCAAAACTCTGCACTTGAAAGCAAATAAATATAAAATTCACAAAGTCACCACAAAAGATCCAAGTACTTAAAGTGACTTGCCCCTTAAAAAATTATATCTTTCACTCTCAGTACCTTTCACTCTCAGCTGTCTGCATGGTCTCCAGTTTTGAGTGGGTTCCTCTGTTAAATCCTTTTACCTCCTGCTCTTCCAAAGATTCCAGCAATCGGATGACATCTTTATTCACTCCCCTGCGCTTTGCCAGAACTAAGGGGGTAGCACCTTGATGATTGCTAAAAAAGTTCATAAAAAGAAAAAGACCATCAGAGCAGTTACACTACATTGTTAGTACTCATTTGTGTAGTTATCAGTGAAGAAAGAATAGGTCTAACTAACACAAAATTAAAACACAGAGCCGAGTCAAAGGTCAAGCTGAAAGCTGAATTTTGAATTAATCTTTTTCCTTCCAGGGAAAAGGAAAAAGAACACATAGGCAAAAGAATGGATAGACAGTAAATAAAAGAAAAAGAGAGCATCTTCTCAGAGATTAATTGGAAAGTCTAATTCTGGATTCACTCTTATTTGACATTCACATTTTATGGGAAGAATATATATATTTAAAAAAAAAATCTAAGAATTAAAAAAAGGAGCCAAATAAGCTCTGGTTCACTCAGCTATTTAACACTAATAGTAGAATTCCAATCACACTGAATCTTGCCTTCAATTCCCACCACAATGTGTCCTGAAGTAGTAGAACCATTTACTATCTTATTCAGATTAAGGGACTTTATAGCACCAATAAATTAGGGCAGCATGTAACTGCAATTTAAGGGTCAAACTCAGTTTTAAAGGTGGCTTGACATCTTTTCCACTCAAGAAACAGAGTACCGGGCCGGCCTGTGGCTCACTTGGGAGAGTGTGGTGCTGATAACGCCACGGGTTCGGATCCCTTATGTAGGTATGGCTGGTTAGCTCACTTTGGAGAGCGTGGTGCTGACAACACCAAGTCAAGGGTTAAGATCCCCTTACCAGTCATCTTTAAAAAAAAAAAAAAAAAAAGAAAGAAACAGAGTATCACTAAAACAAACAAACAAAAAAACCCCATGACTTCCTCAAATTGTTCTATCTTAGGACTCTGGACTCCAGAGAGATTGTGACATTATATTGTATGACACAAGGCACATGAGCTTTGGAGTCAGCAGAACTAGGTTCAAATTCCAGCTCTGTCCCTTATAAGCTGTGTGACCTTTGTCAAATCATTTAATCCTTCTTGTCTCAATTATCTCATCTGTAAAATGAAGATAACACCTACTCCAAGAGCTACTTATTCTGAGGGTTAAGTGAGCTAACATAAGTAAACACAACCTAGCCCATAGTAAATTTTCAACAAATATTAGTTTTCCTTCTTTTTCCCTTGTCTTATACTGCACAATTAGTTAGTAGCAGAAACTGGTCACTACTTTCACAGGAAAAATTAGCATAAATCTAAAAGTCAGCCCCTTGCTCCCTCACTTGCCTAATAAGATTCCATTGTCTTCAATAATTTTCTGAACTTGTCATTACCCACAGACTCCAAGATTAGAACACTGGTTAAGAGACTAATGGGAAGAAATGACTAGACTTCAAAAACCACAGAAAACTTACCAAATATCAATTTTGAGTCCATTGGAAACTAAGAATTGAATAGTATCCACATGGCCACAGAGGTGAAGAGCTGTGTTTCCTTGGTAATCTGTAGCCAGAAGATCAGCACCAAATTTATGCAATAACTGGCAGATGTCTACATTCCCACGGGCTGCTGCAAGGTGAAGGCCTGTTCTGCCTCTGCTGTCACGAATATTTGGGTCAAAGCCACTTTCCAAAAGCCGCTTGGAATAGTTAAAGTCTCCATCAATACAGGCTTGCAGCAAGGGCACATTAGTCTGAGAAGAATCATTTACAAAAACGTAGGACATTGTTCTGATGTGGTGGATGAAATATGCCTGCAATGAAATATGAGGTGAGTGAGAATTGCTGAAGCCAAACTAAATCAAGACAATGAAGTCATTTAGAAAAGCACTATTTCTTATCCTTCTTGGCCTTCTGTCTCTATTAATAAATTACCTCACCAAACAGAAACAACAACAAAGTTATCAATTACATATTATTTTCCATTAAAATGTTTTATTTTCTTCACATCTGTTGGATCCAAATTGCAATTAAATTACTATAAAGCTCTGTTTTGCTTTTTACTACATAAAAACAGATATTTTAAAAGTTAAGCAAGATATAATTGTTCAGATTTAAGTTTACTGCATTGTCAGAAGACACAGAAAACGTGATCTTTAAACTTTTAAGAACTGCCTATATATATATATATACACATAAATATTACTGCAGGTAAACATTCTTATTTTTATTATTATCTTTCATATATTTGCTTCTTGTATTTGAGATATATGGTAAACAAAACTACCATTAAAAAAACCCCAAAAATAACTCACACTAAATAAAGACCAGCTAAAACCCTCTGTTTATAGCACAAATTTCAAGTTTTCATAGAAAGAAAAAAGTGAAGAAAGGTAACAAACCAAATTTAAAAATTGGAAATAGCATGAAATCAGTTGAGATTATCCTTCTTTTCACTTTATTAATCCTATTCTACTCTGTCCTGTGGTTATCTTAATATGTGATTTTGCCAAACTCCCATTGTCTGAAGACTGGGAGATGACGGAAAGTAGGTCTGTCTGGGAAGACAGAGGCAGGACAAAAGCAGCAATCCCAACTGTGCCAATAGTAATTTCATCTCTCTGACTCACCCAGCTCACCACCAGTTTGCCCACACCTCTTTCACTGATACTTCCCTGCCCCACTGGCATGCCTGTGAGCTCTCAAAACATTCTGCTTTACCAAAGTGCAAACAACTGGATCTCTCTTTCTCTTTCTTCCCCTTGGTTCATTTAAGAAAAAATTAAAGCCTGTTAAAAGAAATTTTTCTAGGAAATTTAGGAGAAAACAAACTAAAAGAAGAAAACAGAAAGGCAGAGACCGATGCATTTACAGAGGTGGCTCTCTTACTCTAAGGTTACAAAAGCTTAGTCACAGATGGGCTTGGCTTGTACAGTTTATCAGGTCTTTCTTTCTTTCTGGAACACTGATGGAACTGGACACTAGGCCAATCTATTCTTGTACCTAACCTCAGGGGATTCAGGAAAGGAAAGCTGCCAGGTTTGGTGAGATTCTTGACCCCTGGCCCCTTTCAGCTTGGTTTCCCAGTAGAGCCATCATCCCTCTAGTCCTGGGCCACCTTACGCTAGAACTCTGATGCTGCCATGGGTTCTCTGTAGAAAGGAAGGCATTAACACATACTGAGGACCTTTTCAGAGCCAGGCACCAACTAGTGGCTTTGGATGGATTTTATGTAATCTTTCTAACAACTCCATGGTAAGGTTTATTATACTTGAATTTAAGTGAAGAGTCACTGAAGGATTTTAAAGATAGAATTACACAAGTTAATGTCTCATTGGAAGGGCCAGCCCGTGGCTCATTTGGGCGAGTGCGGTGCTGATAACACCAAGGCCACAGAGCCCTATATAGGGATGGCCAGTTAGCTCACTTGGGAGAGTGTGGTGCTCACAACACCAAGTCAAGGGTTAAGATCCCCATAGCGGTCATTTTTTAGAAGAAAAAAAAAAGTGACTCACTGGATAAGATAGGTGAGAAGGAGATGTTAATGATAATTCCAAATAAGGGAAAAATATGATTAAGAATTACAGAGATCACGGTAAAATAAACTTTAGATTATGATACTACATAATGATTTTTTTAAAAAAATTAACTCAATGAGAAGAATTTACTCAATAAATGGTCAAGAATTATTTTCTTAGGGTAATCTCCCTATTTTCCCCTACAGTATTCACTGGATTGGATCATAAAAAAGACAAAGCTATCATAAACACTTTTTAAAAATAAAATACCACACATCCACTGCTTTTCAAAAGGTAATTTTTCTTGGTTAAATTCTGTAAGAATAGATAAGCAATCTAAGAATTCTGGGGTTTGCAGAATGGGATTCTACTGAATGACAGCTCAGTAAAAATATAAGCCTTTCTTCTCTATTTTCTAGGTGAGAATAAGTACAGTGTATTTTGTCAGTTTCTGTGTCCTTGACAAACTGTTAACCCCACCCCCACATTTAATAAGCTCAATGACAGACAACATTTTTTCATCTTGATCACATAACTGAATCTACAGCAAGGCCACAGTTCACTGAAGATTTCATATATTGTGAGGAAGTCTACAGTAGAAAATACTCACGTAAGCCTTAAGATTAGATCTTTCAGTGGTTACTCAGCAATTTCGCTGAATTCTTAAGAAGGTTCAACAAAAATATTCAGTAATGTTCTGGCAAGGATCTACAGTACACAGAAAATTCAGTTATAACAAAGGTGTAGCATGGAAAAAGAACTTGCTGTTCTATTAAATGCAGACAGGCTAATGGGGCCTGTGGTATTCTCCAGAAAATCTGTGGGTGGGGCATCAACTTGTAAAGTAACTGATGAGTAATAAATTAGTGAGAAAGAAGAACAGAAGGGCTTGATATGAAGCTGCTCTATTGCCCACAAACAAGAATGCATGGATAGAAAGATTAAAAAAAAAAAAAAAGAATCAAAATGTGCCATCAGTAGAGAATAAACTGGGTTCCAAAAATTCACTCTCAGTCATTGTTTAGAACTGAGAATGCATATTTTTCACATTATAAATGGAGGCTACATCCCAGATTAGATCACAAAAACATTTTTAGAAATAAAACACAACTTGTAATTGGAAAAAACCAGTAAAAATAGCCAGTACTTTAACCAAACAGGATACATTTTTTTAAAAAGTTTCTTATCTATCTTGAATGCTGTAACTTACATCTCTGAGACTGTCCTTTCCTCTTCTTTTCAGTGTCAAAGAAAATCTGGCCCAAATCTATCTGACGTGTCCACATGGCCTGACCCACTCAGGCTGCAGCTCTGTGCACTGAGAGACACCATAAGAGTACCCTGTCTGTCCACTCAACTCTTCTCTGGAGGGACTACAGGAGTGGGGTCATGGGCAGGCAGTACAGGCCACAGAAAAAGCAATATTAATTTGGTAAACAAGTATTTACTGCATGCCTAAAATGTGCCAGAAATGTGTTGTGGGCAACAGATAAGAACCATGCTAACTGGTGGGATATAAAGTCCAAGTACGGAATTCATGGTCAGGTTGAAACTCATATTAACCTTTTACTGCTCATTAATGCTCACGGTTATCAAATCCTTTTAAATAAATTTATATAGGAAAATAATTAATGGTATTTTATGAGGCTCCATTTACAATACGTAAGTCAGGTTGTATCCATAAGGCCTATCAGTGCTAGGCTGAAACTGATCATGATGGCTGACACACTGTATGTTGAGGACCAGTCCCACAATAGTGTCACTGAATATCTTAAAGACATGAAAAAACAAGTGCCCTTCAACGTACGAAGAGGTTCCATTCTCATAAACCCGTTATCAATTGAAAATAGACAAAGCTGAAAGTGCATTTTTTGACTTATATTTTCAACTGATGATGGATTTATCTGGATGTAACTGTATCGTAAGTAAAAGAGTGTACTAAATGCATATTGCTTTCACACCACCATAAAGTTGAAAAATGATTAAGTCAAATCATCGTAGATCAGAGACCATCTATACACAAAACATCTATCCTCCTTAACTGTTTCCTAGTTTTCTCTGATTCTATAATATCAATTTAGACAAATTTTCTATTACTGAGCCACTTAATTCTATTTCCTTGAACAAATATTCTGAATTCACCCAAGCCTAGTACTTTTCCTCTCTCGTCCTGACCACTGGAGTCTTTATGATCAAAGCCTCTCATATCATTTGGCTTCAATTTTCAATGTTAAAAATGGTAGAAGGGGGGGTTGTTCTTCAGAATAGAGCTCACATTTTAAAAAGAACAAGTTTTGCTTTTCATCTGGAGATAGAATGATAGATCATATAGTTATGCACCCAAATAATCCTAATGTTCCCTATACTCATAAGAAAGACAATGCTTCTGCCATTTTCTTTTGATATAACAAGGCCCCATAAAAAAACACAATTGATCAAATTACAGATTTATTTATATGTGATTTCATATTTAATATTGTCAGATGCACTGGACTGTATTGCTAGAAATTTGCCAAGAAAACTTCCAAAACCTCAGTTAGACTCCAATCACTAGAAATCTATTAATAGCTTCCCCAAGAAGTCATAAAGTGAATACAAATCAGAACACATATTAACCATTGTCAAGGGGTGAAGAGGACTAACAATTTTTTAATGAAACTTGAGATAACTGTAGGTTCACATGCAGCTGTAAGAAATAATACAGACAGATCCCGTGTGCCCTTTACCCTATTCCCCCCAAAATAACATCTTGCAAAACTATAGTATAGATTGAGTATCCCTTATCCAAAATGCTTGGGACCAGAAGTGTTTTGGATTTCAAATTTTTTCAGATTTTGGAATAACTGCATTACACTCATATACTTATTGGTTGAACATCCCAAATCCCCAAATCCAAAATGTGAAATGCTCCAATAAGCATTTCCTTTGAATGTCATGTCGACAATCAAAAAGTTTTGAATTTTGGAGCATTTCAGAGTTCAGATTTGGTATGCTCAATCTGTACATCGCCACAACCAGAATACCGACATTGATATAGTCAAGATGCAGAACATTTCCTTCACCACAGTAATCCCTCATATGTTGCCCTTTTACAGCTATACTCATACTTCTCTCCCATCCCCACCTCTCCATAACCCTTGGAAACCACTACTCTGTCTTCCATTTCTATAATTCTGTCATTTCAAGAATGTTGTATAAATGGAACCATCCAATACTATACATTGAACCTTTTGAGACTAGCTTTTTTTACTCAGCATAATTCTCTGGGAAATCATCCAGGTTGTTATGTGTATCAATAGTTTGTCCCTTTTTTATTGCTAAGTAGTATTCCATGGTATGAATGTACCACAGTTTAACAGTTCACCTATTGAAGGACACCTAATTTTCTCTAGTTTTGGGCTATTATGTTAAAGTTTCTACAAACATCTGTGTACAGGTTTTTATGTGAATGTAAGTCTGCATTTCTCTGGTATAAATGGTCAGGAGTGCAACTGGTGGTTGTATGAAGGCCTGAAGATATTGACCAAAAGACTGTTACACCTGAAGGTGCCTATCTTCCCCATTCAAAAAAGAATGTAGGGTCATCTTTGGAGTCACTGTCTGGGTATCAGGTTATTTACGGAAGACTTTGTAGAACCAAGCCTTTGGAAGGGCACAAGTGGATGCCCTAGCATTTACCAGAGGGAGTGTTTAATAAGAACCATTCAACAAGTAGAATTAGAGACACAAATAAGAGTGTGAACAGTGAACTACAGATGGTCCCTGACTTGCAATGGTTCAACTTAACCATTTTCTGACTTTACAATAGTGTAAAAGCAACACACACACAGTAGAAACTATACTTTGAATTTTGAATTATAAACCTTTCCCAGGCTGGTGATATGTGGTACGATACTCTCTTCTGATGCTGGGCGGCAACAGCAAGTCTCAGCTCCCAGTCAGCCACACGATCACGAGGGTGAACAATAGATACTCTACAGTGTACTGTGTTGCCAGAGGACTTTGTCCAACTGTAGGCTAATGTAAGTGTTCTGAGCACCTTTAAAGTAGGCTAGGCTAAGCTATGATGTTTGGTAGGTTAGGTGTATTAAATGCATTTTTGACTTACAGTATCTTCAACTTATGATGGGTTTATCTAGACATAACCCCATTGTAAGCCAAGGAGCATCTGTAGTATCTTTCAAGATTCAGAGGGCTGAGTCTGCTTCCCTGTGAATGGATGTGAAAGCCAAGCATAATGAAGGCTTCTTTTAGAGGCAGGAAAGCAGGAGAGAGAGGGATGCAGTATAATATGACTCTCCTAGGAGGGCCTACTCTTACGAATGTACAACAGAGAGGCAGTTTTCCTACTGTTGGATGCTGTTAAAAGAGCTTGGCTACTCCACCCAGAATGTGTGTAGAGCTGGGCTGCCTGGGTATGCTCAGCTACTTACCTAGCTGTATGACTTACACACTCAAAAAATAACAGTTATTATTCTCCCCAGGCTGGACACAGCTCTGGAGAGACTGTCCTCTGCTGTACTGAAGAAAGCTTGTGTACAACATTAATCCTTTGGCAACAAAGCAGCTTCTAGCAATGCAGTGACATCTAGTGGGGAGTAAAGACCTCCAGGAAAGAAAAAAAAAACTGATTCCTGGCAGAGAAAAAAACCACATGGCCCAGTGCAACAGTCAATAGTGGGAATAATCAAGCCCCAGAAAGCATGCTAGTTGTTCTTTAGGGCCCTGGTTCCTAAGGGGCAGTGTCCATTGACTGGTTCAGAGGCAGACTCGCTGAGACAGTTAAAAGCAGAACTCTAGGAAGTCAGGTCTTAGAGGGCTGGCTCAGCATAATAACACTTAAAACTCTTCACTCTGTGCTCTGTGTCACTCCCCTAGAGATTTCATGAGGATGGAGTCATTCATCCTTTGGGATGAGGCAGTCACCTAGATCTTAGCAATCAGAGCTCCTAACGTCAAACAGTGCTTGTGTCTTGGGGCTGGCCCAGTGGCGCACTGCTACAGTGCGCCGCTTGGGAGCGCGGTGGCGCTCCCGCCGAGGGTTCGGATCCCACATACAGACCGGCTGCTCAGTGGCTGAGCGAGGTGCGGGCACAACACCGAGGGTTGCGATCCCATTGCCGGTCCTGGTCCGGTACGGGCGCGACACTGAGGGTTGAGATCCGTTGCTGGTCATGAAAAAAGACAAAAAG